TTCCAGACATACATCAGTCATAGACACCTACAAAGTTTCAGGATTAAAGACATATCCTACCTGCTTTAGGGCAAGTGGGATATTATTGGGAATTGTGTCCTAAAAGCATGAGATTTAATATGATATTTATTATTTATTTAATAAAATAGTTTATTCATTATTTTATGTACATATATTTATGAATATTTTATGAATATCAATGAAAATTCCATGATTATTTATGTGACCTAAAACATTATTTATAAGTGTTATATACGAGAGGATAATGTTTAAGGATAATAATAAAAAATGATGTTCGTAATGAATTTAATTAAAGTTCAGAATCTTTAATTAAAACATTATTAATACATGTCATTCCCATTTAGAATGGAACGGTGTTATCCGCACTGTTAATATAGTGAGATATTGAATGAGTGTATTTCGCATAATGAGATTATGTGAAACGAGGACACATACACAATATGAATTTCTAATAATTTCTGTTAAGTATAAAAATTCTAATTGAGTCTACCGATAGTCACATGTAGAATGATCTTAATCCTGAGTTCTTAGCATACTCCTATTTAAGGATTTGTGTCTTTTGATTTACTCGGTACGGATTCTGAGATCCTGAATCATATTCCTTGTATTTTGGAGACATGATGAAATAGGTAGCCGGGAATGTTATTATACGAGATGGAATCCATTCCTTCTTGAAAAAGAAGTAGATAAATAATTCTCTTGCTGGTTGATTCGGTACTTGGACTAGTAAGAGCTCCGATTCATGAACGGATTTTATGAATCACTGTCCATTAGAGAATCAATGGTACTCAATGATAAAGATGTAATTAGAGAGGTTAACGGATTTCACCTAGCTCTAATTATTAATTATTTATGGATGATTGATCTATATGCAATGACTACATCACACGGACACTTCACGGTTTAGAAGTAATTTATATCTATAATTACGATAGTGCAATTCTAAGTTTATAGTGGAGTAACTATTAGAATTAATAAGATTAATTAATTAATTAAAGTGTTTAATTAATTATTAATTTTATTGGAGCTCAAAATTATAGGTCCATGAGTCCTCATGTCATCCTTGTAATTCTACAAGACAATAAGGGCAAAATGAAAATTTTAGAATTACAGAATTCTAAAATTAAACACTCAAGGATAATTAATTATTATTATTTAAATTAAATTTTGGATCACTTATGTGAAGGTGTTCACATAATGTGAGCGCAATGCACAATGTGAACACACAGTGTGAACACATAGTGTGGATATATAGTATGAATACATCTAGAATTATTCATTTAAACTTATTTGATAAATTGTTCAATTAGAATTCAATTAATTTAAGTTGGACTTAAATTGAAATTTGAATTTGAGTCAAAATTGGACTACAGGATAAAAGATGATTTTCTCTTCCTTCTTTATCTGTATTTGGCGCCTACCACAAGGATAAAATCCCCTATCTTGGCCGGCCATTAGTGGATAAAGGAAGGGAGAATTTATTCCAAATTCAAATGGGAGATAATTGATAAGCTTTATCTTGGAGATAAATGTGAGACTTCTTCTAAGAGTCTAACTACTATTCTATAAATAAAGAGATAGTAGAAAAAAATTTTTGCTCTTAATTTTATAAAATGGCCGGTTTCACAAGTGTTATGAGAGGAAAAATTTTCTCTAAAAAAAATTTCACGTCGTGCATGCGTTGGTGTTCGTGAAAATTCTTAAGTGTTTTTGTTAACCTGTTTTGTTTCAGGTGTGCCCACACACACGTCTTCGTAGATTCAAGGAATTGATGAGGAAGGTTCGGGTTTTCTAACAAAGCATTGGAGCGAGGATTGTTCAAGGTCAAAGAACTCAAGTTATCATCCTAATTAGTCGCTAGGTATAATTTCTAATCCGATTCTTGATAAAGCGATAAATTTATTCGTGCATAAATTAATATAATCTATATAGTATTTTAAAAATTTTATGAAATTTTTTTTTATATACGATCCACTTACTCCGCACTTCTACTTCGGCATCCGAATTTGATTCAAAAATCAACAGCAATGTCATTAGCAGTTGGTGATCTTAGATACCACTCTTCAAATATCTCCACACTAGCTCAACAAAATCTCTTCATGCTTTCAATTGTCGTTGACTCGCCTATTTTAATGTACTTGTCGTTGGCATCCGCCGGTAGACCATATGCCAATATCCGGAACATGGCTGTTACTTTTTATATAGTTAATAATCCGAGTTCACCGAGTCCATTACTTCGTTGTTGGAAGTAGTTGTCATGATCTTTGACCGCATTAACAATACAAAGGAACAAACTTTTGAGACATTCGGTATCGTACGCGAAACATGACATCATTGTAGTGTGGGTTCTCAGCAAAATAATTATTGGACAGATTTCTGTCTGCCGTTTCGCAGTCGTGATGAATCACTATACGACCAGGAATTGAGCCGCCCCAGGTCACATGATTTTAGTTTTTAATTTAAATTGTAATGTGATATTTTTTAAAAAAAAATTTAACTGTAATAAAAAAATTAGATGTAATATTTTTTAAGAATTTTTAACTGTAAAAATTTAAAATTAAAAACTCAAATCGATAAAATAAATAAGTATTAATTGAAATAGTTAGCAATGATCACAATGGTATTAGTGATCTCACATATAATGCTTCTTCTGCATTAATCACTGTGACATGTTTACTTACCAGGATTGAAGAATGAGAGTGAGGAATGAGAGTTAATTCCATGTTTACTTGCTCTTTTTTATCCTGAAATGAGAGTGAGATTGGTGGGTCCCACTCAAATTTGAGATTGAGGAATGAGATTGGCACTCCCATGTCCTCTCTTAGGATTGAGACTCTCATTCCTAATATTAATATTCATTTACTATTATACCCTTATTTTACTTATAAATACACAATTCAAAATAAAATTCAAAAAATAATAAATGCAACATATATTTATTATTTTATTTACCTAATATTATAATATTAGCATAATTATTGTTAACTTTAATATAATAAATATGTACTTTATTTTTAATAAATTAATAATATATTTTATTTTTTAACACTGATTTATATTTTTATTTATTTTATTTAAAATTTATTTTTATATTTTAAATAGTTGTACAATTTATATTTATTATTTTAGTACCCAATTATTACATTAAATATTTTAATTATGATTAATTTTAATATAATAAGTACACTATTTTTTAAATTGAAAATATCAAATTGATTTAAAGAGTATATTAGTACTTTTACATTTTTTCATTCCGATTCTGGGTGTAAGTAAACGTATGAATGAGATTTGGAATGACTCTGATTCTGAATCTTATCACTAAGTAAACAGCTTATTCTGACTCCGATTCCTCACTTCGAATCCTACCCACTCCAAATTCTGCCCACTATAATTTATGCTCATTCTGATTACGTGTAGGTAAACATACCATGAGACTATTCATTATTGCTTCATCGTCATGATCCGAAGATAAAGTTGAATATTATAAAGGTCGTTTTATTCGTACACTTTTTTTTCTCTCTACCTAGACTCAATTACATAATTAAATTAATAAAAAAATAATGATTTTTTCTCTCTTCACACACTCCACGTATTTTCCCCAAATTTTCACTTTTCAATTACTATTCCAAAAAATTTCATAGAAGTTTATCTTTTTTTTTTTTTTCTATTTGTTCTATGACAGTTGTTCATTTACCTTTATAATTTCATTTTTTTGCTAATCATTTCACTTTCTTAAGACTAATCATATTATTTTTCATTTTTTATTAAGTTTTGTTGATTGAACATTTTCCATTTCATTCTTTTTTTCCTTGTGGTCATATTTTTTTAACAAGTTTTGTTTTGTTTTTTTTTTATCAATTTGTCTTTATAGATTGTACATATTATACGTATTAATAAAATATAATTATGTTGATGTTCTATTTAACTTTTTATTAAATATTTTGAGTTGTTTTGCTTTCATTGTTTTTTCTTTTTAATTGTTTATTTTACTTTTTTATTTTTTCATTTTCTTTTTTGATTATGCCATTTGATTTTTTAAAATAACAAATTAAAATAAAATAGTGGGTATAAAGAGAAAAATGATGTGGTCAAAAATTAATAATCTTATTAAAATAGTTAAAATTAATTCTGAAATAATAGAAGTGTGTAAAAAGTAAATCTAATCTTTAAAAATTATATAGGGTGTTTAGTTAGAAGAAAGATGCAGAGAGTAAAAAAAAAAAGCGTGAGTATAAGATAGACCTCCAAAATTGAAATCCATTTAAGAAAAGAAAAAAGGAATACGTTTGTCGAGTGTCCATTTTTTATGTTAGATAAAAGCAGAAGATGCGTTTTTAAACAACTAAAATGATGTTTGGTTTATATATTCAGAATCATGATTCATAATTATTCTCATTTTACGTGTATTTTTTGTAAGAGAAAACACTGTAAAGAACCATAAATCATGATTCAGAATCAGGAACGAATATAGAAAACAAACGTCTCCTAAAGATTGCGAGTCAAGTTCATCATGTTGTATGTTATTTATAGCAAAAAACAACCATAACTTAGCTAATAAGCTTGAAAATTTAAGATCCATTTAGTTCAACAATTCAAATTGTTGATTTAGTTTGACTTGTAGTTATTTAAATTGTGGTTGATTAAATTGTAATTCGAACCGGTGTTTAGATACGTAAATAAATTATAATTTAACTTGAGAATAAAATCCGAACTATGTTCGAATAAAGTGTTGAAACTGTCATTAGAGTTTTATAACAAATTTTATAAAATCTCATTGTAAATGACATCTAAAAATATACAATACAAATGGGGATTTGTTTATCTCTTTATTATGAACATATTAAAAAAAATCATATCAATCAAAATTAAAATAAAGAAGTTATAATATTTTTAAGCTTTAAATTGAAGAGATAGAAAAAATAGAATCAAAATTATTTTTCCTGTAGAAAACAATTAGAATTGTTAGAATTTAAGGGGGAGAGGGGAGTGAATTCTAAAATCAAGGGTTTGAACCATTATTAATGATTTGAATTGTCCTTAAATTGTCTTCTCCTAAATATCAATTTAAATCCTGAACTACGGTTTGAATCCTAAACAATAGTTCAGATTGTTGAAGCAAACATGGGCTGATTCTTGCAATAGCTCACATGACTTATATCCAGAAAACAGTTTGGCGGCTAAGGGTGATCATGTTTAGAAGAGATGATACTCGTCAAAATCACCAATGCACTTGTGCTACCGACTCCGCCAACTAGAAACAGATTTTGGGACAAGGGATATAGAATTTGAAGCTGTATCTAACCTGCAACACGTATAAAAAAAGCTGTAAGCAAACTGAACCAAGTTATATAGCAAATAGATGCAGCCACAACAACCCAAAAAAAAAAAAAAAATGGCATGCGGAGAGAGAGCATACCTGGATATTTCTTCAACGGCCTTCATAACTTCTGAAGAACTTGTTTCCAACACTTGACCTCCAAATATGATCTCATCCAATATGGTATGCATCTGGAGAGAAAAATATTGGAACTTAGCACAATATATTACTCTAGGAAGAATAATAACGAACAAAATCAAACGCCAGAAATAATTAGAGATGTGCTGATGTAAGACATGTACCCCTCTAGATAATCATATCCCCTCTCAAGCAGCAAGAACTAATGTATATTAAGTTCATGATGAGCATTACTTTTGGTGCTTTTTTTTTTTGTCTAAACGTTCACATTTCCAAGGTACTAATTAGATGCATTAATCTTAGAGCCTTGAGACAAGGAAAGGATTCGTGATAAGTAAAAATTTCTCCAAAGTAAAAGAGAGTAAGACCTTGCTGTAATTGAAAACTATGTCAAGCTCACACACATTTCTGAAGCATTTGTCCAACGTTTCCACAAATACTGAAGCCATAAGAATCAAAGTAAGAAAAGTATACAAGAAAGAAATAATGATAAACAGAATGTTACTTATAATATATATCTAAGAATTATATAAGTCAATTGCTGTTAATTTCAGCTTATAAATTATTGAAACAAAAAAATAAATTAGTTGATCAACCTAGATTGCTGGACACATCTACAGTTTTACTATTTAACATCGCAAAAGAAATCACCGATGCATAAACTAAGAAATAAGATGGTCCGTGCAGTATGTGATGCATTGTGCCTCAACATCCTATGACAATTCAAAAGGAATACAAATATATAAAGCTCACAGTAAGAATTCGAGAATTGAAATATCTGAAGAATCCAATCTAAATAATAAATATCCAGATAAGTGTTATTTTTCATGATATACTCCATACTAGTGTATGCTATTCTGCAATAAAACCCAACCTCATTTCATACTGTTGACTATACTTTTTGGTTTTTCTAATTCAACCAGCTCTTCAAGAATTCATTGGATATTCAAACCAAACCATACAGCCTTTAGATTTAATTACAACTAATTATCCTATGCTAGTCGACTTATCACACATGCTAATTCTTCAACAACTACACACCTAAATGTACCACCACACATTCCAATAAATAGAACCATGAAAGAGTAACGCACCTTGTATCAAATCAAGCATGGCAAGCTCATTTTCAGAACTATCAAATAAAAACACGATGTACAGAGTCGCATAGTGCTGGTAAACAAGTCTAGTGTCCTGGAGATAGAGAAAAAAATAATGATAAAAGATTAGAAAGAAGAAGAAATGTGTACACAGCAACTGAGAACTACTAAAGCAAAAACCAGCAACTTAGCAGATCAATGTGAACTAGCTTCAACAGCAAACCTAACCGATCAAGGTCTGGTAATAATGAACTAATTTGCAACACGATTCGAGTAATCACGCATCTAATCTGATTTAGACTAATTTGTTAGTTGTCTTGGGTATATATGTAGCTAATGATCCCTAATCATCTCGATAAGAACGATCTACGCACTACGAAGAACTAAAGCACGGAGAAAATTCGAGTTCCAAGCTGTAAAATGAAATTCAAAATTCTAGGCTCAAAGAGACCCACCGGACCGAAAAACGATTCCGCTTCCATAAAATTGCTCACATTCTCAGCTCTACTGCATAAAACTGTAGCAAATTCAGACATCAATAAGGGAACTATCGAAAACAAATGAAAATGGTGACCTAGAAGTGTGATCAAAACAATATGCAAATGCGATTATGAGATCCACCAGCGGTTTACGCAGAAATTCGAGATTAATCGAAGTATACATATATATATATATATATATAGAGAGAGAGAGAGAGAGAGAGAGAGAGAGAGAGAGAGAGAGAACCTCCATAGACGTTGCGGATGAGCTCCTGCTGTTTCTCCACAGGCTGAATTCGAAAATCGCAAATTCGGTTATCGAAAGACAAAACATAGAGAAGAATAAGGTTAAACTCAGAGAACGAAGGGAAATTGAACGGAGCCACCTGACCTGAGCATCGTAGAATTTAGCAAGGCGAGGCTTGCCTTGCGTGTTTATCACCATAACTGCCCTTATCATCTCTCTCCCTCTCTCTCTCTCTCGAGATCGAAATTCTTGGCTGTTTTTAAATTTCAGTTTTCTTTTCCGATGAGATTTTGGCAAACCCGACGAGTTCTTTCTTATATTCTTGTGCATCCGGGGCCCGAACATTTTTAGAAATGTCATTACGTCCCGGCCCGGCTTAAGCCTGAAGGCCCAAATGACAATTTTGCTCTAGGTCGAGCAGGTCCATTATTTTCACCGAGTCAAATCAGCCCAAAATGCACAAAGTATTTTTTAAAAAAATTTTAAAAAATGGATGGTCAAGCGGCCCGCCCGGCCCGAATAAGGTTTCAAGCTCGAAACCTCAGGCTGACCCGGCCCGAACTCTTAAGGAGGCCGAAAATGAGGCTAACAATGTCGAGCTTCGGTTCTGCTTAAACTTTCACTTCTAGAAGTGTAACAATATCATCTCCAACGTAATATTACAAACGGAAATAGTAGAAAATATACCAATATGAAAAAGCTTAAGGAAGTATATATGCCAAATTTTAGTTATAGAAATTAATAGGCCATAACTTGTTAAGTTATGGTTCATAACCAGATAAGTTATGGACAAACTTGTCAGGTTATAGTTCATAGCCAGACAAGTTATGGACAAAAATCATGATTTATGGACAATAACTTGTCAAGTTATGGTTCATAACCAGACAAGTTATGGACGAAAACAGTAATTTGACCTATTTATTAACTTTGTAAACTACTGACCTATTAATTTTAATTCATCTCAAGTCTTAACCTATTTCTCTCTTTCTTCCTATTACAAATTTACATTTGTGACATGCTCGGCGTCTATTTGTCATTTCAAACTTCAGCTGCTCATAAGGCTATGCCTGTTCATTAGCAGTGGTGGAGTCAGAACCTTTTTCTAGGGGCGGGAATTAAACCATAAATTTTTATTAAAACAACAATACCACTATTTTAATTGAGTTTAATTCACTTTGATTTCAGTTCATAAAATTATTCATTTTAAAATATTGCCATTGATTTTTTTTATTGATTTGGTATTTTAAATTTAAAATACAAGTACATCAAAATTTAAAAGTTAAAATATGAGGTATAATTGAAATTTTTAAAACATTTTGATTTAAATATTACAAATTATGTTTGGTTGGTGGATTCAAACCATGCTTTGAATCATGGTTCATGATTCGTTACAGTATTTTCTCTCACAAAAAATACACATAAATAAAAAATGATTATAATCACATGATTCTAATCCATAAACCAAACGTCTCATAAAATTTTCAGTGGGGTGAAATAAGAATAAAAAAAAAGAAAAAACCTTAACTATTGGGGTTTTTGGGTAAAAAAGCTACTTAGGCCTACTAGGCCTCATGTGGCGCTACCATTGTCTACAAGTGTATTATGAATCTTTAGAATTTTTAAAGTGCATTTGTTTGGATTTTTGTACCCATTATTTTTTATTGATACCCTTTTAACTAATATAATTATTTGACTAAAAAGAATATTAATTAAGAATAAGTGATACAAATCCTGACACATAGATATTTGTCTCATTTTCCTTTACATCTTCTATCTTCTATTTTTATCTTTATCTTTACACATATAAAAGAAGTCAAGACACTTTCGCCCCCTTTTTCACAGGTATCTACATGTCATTTCTTTTTATTTTTCTCGTCTTTTCTTTTTCTTTACTTTATTTTCCCGCCATCGTCATGGAGTTGTTTGCTTCTACCAACTCATGTATTCTCTATCGCTCAAGCTCTTTTCTTCCTCCACGCTTAAATAGACAACGTGCTTTGAGTTTTAAGGTTCGTTTGGTTCATGTATTCAAATCATTATTTATGATTTTGACATTTAAAATTTAAAGTTTTATGAGAAGAAAACATTGTAACAAAATCAAGAATCATGGTTTAAACCATGTAACAAATGCACTAGTAGAGATTTCTTTTTTTGTTCCCAACTATGGTCCTCTAAATAAGGTTATTCTAACTCTCCTTTAAATTTAGACCCCCAGACTTTCAATTTTACAAATGGAACCATAAATTTGAAAATGAAAAAGGTACATGATTTTCTATTGTTTTGTGCAATCCTATTATATATGTCATTCTAAATAATTGAATGTCATCGTGGCTTTTTATTTTCTCTTTAATAATTAAACGGCAATTGTATATTTTTGAGTGGAGTAACATAAATAATATTATTTAACCTTAAGTGGTATTTTAGTTTTTTTTCTCAAAAAATTATAATTTTATTATTTTGGACTCTTGTTCTCGTCCATTAGTTGACATTCGTTATGGATTGAATTACATTGCCAAAGATTATCAATTTAGGGTACTAAAAGCTAAACTAAAAGTTTCCAATCCAACTTACAAATGACAAAAAGTTTCCATTTGCATGGATGCAATTTACACATTCAAAGTTTTAGGACGACAACTAGTTTTAACCCCAGAAAACTTTTTTCCCCCTTCATCGCTTAGCTTTTCATTTCAGTTTTCCGCAAGTCTCAAAGGGAATTTGTCATTTCAAGGATCAACATTAGTTGTTGACAGGAAAAAAATATACACAGAATAACATAAATTTAAAATTTACAGGTACAATCAAAAGTAGACCTAAAATAGAGAGTATACAAATTTTAAAGACAATCTTTTATACATCTAAAATACATAAGCAATATAAATATCAATTCACACCAGCCTCTTATAATAGAAAACAAGGCACTAGCAAAATATGGCACTGGCAAGTATTCAGTTCGACCTATAAACTCAAATAAAATCACTTAAAGGGAGATAGCATGCATCGAGGTAACTAAAAGGACATCAACAACGAGGTACATTAAGTATCGACCATACAGTTGACTCCAATATAAATCTTCTATAATCGATGACAACATACAATCAACGAATTTTGAGAAACCCAAAGCCACAAGACCAAAAAAAAAAAACATATCCATCGAACAAAAGGTACAATCAAACACTAAACAAAACGAGAGAAACATACCAACTAATCAAGATAAGAACAACCTTTAATATATAATCAAACCACAGACAAACAACAAAAAAAACCCAACTATCATGAACAAAAAATTATCCGATATTATGAAACTTGTCAAGCCCCGAAATATTTTTTAAGTGTAAAAAAATCTCTGTCACATTTTTTAAGAAATTTTGATAAATATAAAAAATATCGATAAAAATATCAAGTTCTATGAGGTTATAATGATTTTTTTTTTACTGAATTTTGGGAAATATTGTAGAAATATCATGACAGTATCGGTGAAAATATTCAGAAGCTTTCAAAAACATTTGTAAATGTCTATAGTCAATATTTATTTCCATTTTATCAATGATTTATTAGCTAAAAATATATATTTTTTATCACCAGGTATACTTGTACACTTTGTAAATAACATATCATTGTTGCAATATTTCCTGAATTATGATGAAATCCTCATCAAATTTGAGTCTTAGGAGATTTTCTTTTATTCCAAGCACCTTTATGTAAAACTTTTATAAATATGTATATTCTTATCACATCTTAAAATATTAAAAATAAATATCAAGTTTTAAAATAAATATACATAACTTATATAATTTCTCCCGATATTTCTACTAATATTGATATTTTCTCCAAAATTTCTTTAAATAGAGTACTGATATTTTCACCAAACACAAATATTTTCATCATTGCCAACCACACAACAGCGACAAACTTCCAACGAAGAATGACAACCAACACCTCAAATAACATGAAAAGCCATTGAAATAGAAACGTTAAAAAAGCAACATGCCCAGAATGTTGCTTAAAATAACACCATCCCTACTCCAATCCGTCTTAGAATCGACACTTATGACTGATCACATCAACAAACACCACCCCGCTACTGTCTTGACCTCATTGTTGTGAGTTCACGGACAACAATAGAGGGTCGAGAGTCCAAGGATGCGCACGAAATCAATGCTCAATCAAAATGCTTGACTTCATTGTTCGATTCTTATAATGTCACGTCATTAACTTTATATATATGTATGAGTTTTCAATCGTCGCGTTTCTACTGGTAAATACTTATTGAATATAGAAATTTGATGGCGTGACGTATTTGGTCAACTATCTAATTTATTATAATTATCATATTAATATCTTATGGCTAAAATAATGATACCTATTGATAATAAATATTAGAGTAACTAATAAAATCACACTCATATATCTACCTATATATAGGTATATATATGGGTGTAATTTTAATGGTTACTTCAATATATATCCATTGATAGGTATTATTGTAATAGTAAAATATTAATCCGCCGGTCGTAATAAATTAGAAAATTGACTAAAAAAATTTAGAACAATTATTAAAATTAAATTATTATTACGTCACATCATTAAATTTTTATATTTAATAAGTAATCATATGGGAATGTAATTATTAAAAATTTGTGATTTATATAAACTCAAAAGAGAGCCCAATTGGTTAAAGGATTAGTCATATTAGTAAACGAATGGCACCAATAAATAACCTTCAAAAGAATACGCACCAATAAATATTGCTAATCATAAGTTTTGGCGGGGCCGTTACCTTAATGGTGGGGTAGAAAAGGGCAATTCATAAAAAAATCCTATATTGCTAAATCAGACAAACAAGCCCTAAAGAAGCGCTCAAGGAAAGCGAAATCCAATCCTTTTCATTGGCGGCGGCGGATCCGAATGGCTACTATTAGTGCTGGAACTTTGGACGGGCCGCCCGCCCGAGCCCGAATTTCACCTTGAACGGGCCGCGGGCTTGTATTAGGCGGCCCGAGCTCGCCCGAATTATTTAAACTTTTTTTAATATTAAGTTATTTATATATATATATATATTATATTTATATATATATATATATTATATTTATCATATTTACAAATTACAAATTTACAATTTAATTTGAAGCTGAGGGATCGTCTTCAAAATTAAATGTTAATCGATTAAATTCATCGATCCATTCTTGGCTTGCCGGTGAAATTGTATCTTGTAGACGTTGATCGGCCCGATCCTAATCCTTAATGCAAACCAAGGCTTCAACAATATCCCTTT